CAATTGTAGGAAGTTTTGTTAATAATTCATTAATGTTAAGACTATCAAATGTCACATGCAATACATTGTGGGCAGACGATTAGGTGTTAAAGATATAAATAGTGTGAGACGAGCAAAAACAGCAGACAGATAATAGCAAAAAAGAGTAAAGTTACAGGCCAAGGAAAAGATTGTCGTGAAGTTAACTACCGTTAAAGTGATAGGCCTAACATTTAATATGTTAGAGTAAGACTAACAGTAGAAAAAGAGATAATAAGAAGAATTTATTCCTTCAAAGTGTGGTTCTAAAGTAATTGAATCGGCATGAGTGCACTTTGACAAAAGGAACAGAGGATGTATAAGAAAGAAGACCAAACCATTACAGTAACTCGAGCCTCAGTTGTAAGTGAATCACACACAGAATACTAGTGTGATAGTAATAGAAAAGATAGTTTGGCTTGTCAACTGCAAAGTGTGTGCTGTTTATTTATCATTGAATTTATCGCTAACAAGTCACAGACACCTACTGTAGAAGAATCCTAAGCCCAACAACATGGTATATATTTATACTATTAAGAAATATAAATAAAAGCCATTCATTTTGACAATTGGCAAAAAATAAGAATATATGTTTTAAATTTTGACAATCCTAGAAAAGTTTTGGAAAAGTCCTCATTAGCATTGTAGCTTCACCATTATAATTCTCTCATTTGTAGCAGTGAAGATGAAAGGGATGGACATCAATATATTCAGTAATTCTGTTGGTTGAAACAGGATGCTCCATCAGTTGTAGAAAGTACAAGCTTTATTAGTATTGTAGCTACACTGTATAATTCTGATACTGTGGCAGTAATGAAAGGGGATTAATTTCATTAGTGGCATAGTTCTGTTGTAAAAGTTGGTAAAGTGAGGATAATAAGGAGGACTATGAGCATTTACTTACAGTGACAATGAGAATGAGGTTTATTAAAATTATAATTCTGTCACATAATTAATTTTTAGTGTAGATGGTATTAAAACTTTGTAAGTATTGCAGTTTGTTGGCAGTGTAAACTTTCTGAAAGATAAATCAAGCTGTGTTAGCATATTTGTTTAGATAAACTATATTAATTTGTTCAAATTAAGGATACATAATTATATTTCATATCATCATTCATCATGTTGGCCAGTTAGTACCCAAAGAAGATTAAAAACTGTAATGTAAACTGCAATTTTTAAATATTTTTAAGAATGTTTTGTACTTAAAAACCTGATAATACCCTTCATTCTTCATATATAACCTCATACATATCAAATTAAAAACACCATTTCATAAATACATTGTGGTTATGACTCAATACTTGACTCAGAAGCTGTCTGCTGTAGCCACAATATTCAAAAACTTTTTTGGATTTATTTGAAAAGAACCAATGAAACAAAAAAATGTTTCTGAAGCTCTGGCTATTTTTTCTGAATATTATGTTTCGAAAGAATTTGAAGAAAGACCTTTAAAAGCCTGTTGTGAAATTTTATAAAATTGTTGGTTTTAGGAAGATTGGTAAGAGAAAATGTTACTGGAGTCATTATAAAAACAAAAACCAGATTTTAGATGAAATACAAGTTACAGTATATTTGTTATTTAGAAAGAAACATAGGAGAACAATTACTGACTGTACTGCAAAATATAACTTCATCACTTAACCATATATAAAAAGAGTCTGTTGCATATTGGACTGTCAATCCCAATTGTCAGTGTATTAATCAGTTAATAAATAACTTTTTATTTTCTTTGTGGCTAATGACTTGTTTAGTTGATGAGTTTAATGTGAAAGATCAACTTACTTGTATGTATTAACATTTTTTTCTTTAATAGTATTATATTATGACTACTAAAATATTTTGCTGTAATCTTTTGATTGTTTGTCATTTAACCGTATTAATGAAATTAATAATATTAATTCTGCGATTTAACCTGTTTTTGTTTCTTTACATTTATATGACTAATTGTTTTCACACATGTGTACTAAAAGTTTAACTTATTCTTTGACTTTGTTAACCCCTAAACAAAAACCTGAAACATATTTATGTGGTTTTTATTCATGTGTGGGTATATACATTTAAACCTGCAAATGTGATTCTTATTATTTTTATTATTATTGATTAGTATTTCACATTTAAGTAACAAATTTGTGGTAAAATACTGGTTTATTTAAAATTTAAGTTGATATATTAGACAGAAAATCCATTTTTATATTTCATGAAAAATGTTTTATATTATTGATTTATATGAAAGTGCTCTATAAACATACATCTAATGACATTATAACTAGTAGTTTGAGAAAAATGAGTTGCTTTTTTTTGTAGTTGGGAAGAAAGAAATGATACTTCAAACACAACTTTATAGTTGAATTATTTTTAGTTTAGACAGATTTATAAATATTAGTTGTCTTTTAGAATGCACAAGATTTTTTCTAATATTTTCTCAACATAGCTGTCATTTTTACTTTTGTTACATAGTTTGAGCTGAAAGAACAGAAACAAAAAGAAGAAAGGGAAGAAGAGGCTGAAAGGAAGCGACAAGAAGAGCTTGCAGAAAAAGCAGTTGAGGAGCCAGAACCAGCAGTAGAAGAACCTGATGCTGCTCCTGTAAAGTGAGATATCCAAAAAAGAATATGTTTTCTACATTTGTCAATATGGAGCAATGGAAATAATTATGAATTTAGGTTTAAAATGCATTTTGGCGTCAGGTTGAGTAGTTATTTCTGGTCTGTAGTCAGTTCTGTGTTGGAAAGATTCAGGTAGCACGCTTTTTCTTGTGGTAGGCAGATGGTACCTTGATATTGGTTGTTCAGCTTTTTTGTTATCCGTGATCTTTTCTTTCTTTGTGTTTGTTGTATTGTGTTCTGTAGGTGAGTTAGTTGTTCCGTATTCAGTGAATTGTCGGTGATTTCCTGGCGTAAATTCTGCGACAGTTCTTCGATTTTGCCGCTAATTTCGTGGATGGCGGTTTCTCCTTCTGAT